AAAAAAATGAGCTTCGACGTTATCGTTCCCCGCCGGCACGGCCCACTGCTTTTATGCCCTTTTTAATTAACGTTTTAATCCGCCTGCGCGCGCGTTTAACGCCAATAAAGTAAGAGCTCGGGTGCAATTCGGGAAAACGGCGCAGAGCCGCCATTAATATTGTTTGGCAGCAGTAATTTCGACAATTGCCAAACTTTGCCGGGCTCAACGGCTTTTGGCAGCTCGGTGGTTTATTTCGCGGAAATTGCCAGCACTCCTTTTAAAGCGCTTATAATTTTTAAGCCGCCATTCCAAAAAAGCGCAAATTTCCTCTTTCTCTAAACTTCGCCGTTTTAACAAATTAAATATCGCTTGTTGTTGTGTTTTCCTGCAGAGCGGATTTTTTATTATCTCTGAAAGTAATTAAGCCGGAAGTGAGGCAAACGCAACGAATAATCAGCGCCGCTCTGGCGCTTCGTTAAAAATCATCAGATTGACTTTTGTTCGCTTTTTTTCCTCTGCTGCGGTAGAGATTAAGGTCGAAATGATATAGAGTGTCAGTCGCAGCGACGTTTGAACTCTCAATTCAGCCGAGACGGGATTTGCATGCGATCGGCTGAATCTATTGCGTTTATTTTCCACGATGCATTATTTATTCAATTGTAAATCATCCTCGCGTCTTCATTATTCATCGGCCCGGCCCCATTCGTATGCACGTCTTGTTTCTTATGCATCGGCCGTCGACGTGCATGCATGCGTGTGTTCAAGGAAATCGTGTTGTTTTTAGACGTGCAATCACAAATGCATTTGATTATTCGCGCATGGATCGCAATCAATTAACGGAGAGCAACACTTTTACTGCAGTGACGAGCCATTTGGAATGCAAGACCCGGATTGAGGAAAATCTGAGAAGGTCGATTTTGAAATAAAGTTGGTGTTTCCTTAAATTTAATTTATGAGCTTGTTTTCTTTCGTGCAGAAAATAATATTTCCAACAAAATTCAAATGATTAGAGTAAAATAAGGATAAATTATAGGCCATGAATGTTTTGCGATTGGGCCGATTAAAAAAAGTCTATTTAACAAAGATAAATTAAGTGACTCAATTCGGTGCCAATTTTTCAAAAGGAATGCCCATCGAACAAACAGGTTCAGCAACTTTCTCATTTCGCATATTAAAATAAACGGCGCTGCTCGAAAACGAATCAATTTGACTAATTTAATTCCTCGCCAACACATTATAGTTAATGGCCTTTAATTGATGCCGTTAGAATGAGGAATATAAATATATAAGCAAGAGCAGAGGCTTAGCCGAGAGGCAGCTGCGGTTGTTTGAGTTACGAGAGAGACGTCATTAAATGCATTAGCATGCAGCACTTATTTTTCACCTTCACGTCGTGTGACGCTCTATTTTTCAAAGAATTAACTCGGCTAGCTCGGTTTGTCGTGTTAATGCGGATATCTGGCCGAGAGGTCATTAATAATAAACACATGAACAACACGGCAGCGTGTGTAATTCCACGTCCATCATATTATGCTTCCATACATGTGCTACAAATTAAGCAACGAGTTTTGCACCGAGAGAGACTGGAAATTTATATATTTAATGAATTCCGTTTAATGAGAAGGAAAGAAAGAAGCGCTCGCTTGGACTAGCGTGAGTGTCACACTCGACTCTTTAATCTGGCACTCTGATCTTCACTCGGCCTCTCGTAAAATCCCAATGCGGCCGACAGAGCCTCTAAAAGCTACACGCATGATGAAATTCGAGCCTTTCCTTCCCTCGACCCGCGCGCGTGAATAATAATTAAAATATTTTCGAGCGTTCAAAGGGCGTCTCTCTGTATTTTTTTCTGCTCAACTCAAAGCAAACACACCTGCGCGTCCCAAAATAAAATCACGAAACGCTTCTCTTTGCGGTCGTTCGATTTGTCGCAAGACTTTCTTTCTTTCTGTCTCGATTTCCTTTGAAGATCCATAATTCACGGTGTGTGCGATTCAAGTATGCACGTGCGCAAATCAGACCAGCTTGCTTAGTATAATCACGTGCTGTGTGCGCCTGCCTTAATTAACAAGCGCGCACGAATTTCAAAGCTATATTCACATGACATGCTGCTGGGGTGCGCAGCTAACCTTAAAATTTAAAACCGGCGGCAGACGTGTTTTTCCCACTTTAATTCGGCTCGAATTTGTTTATATACGGCGGACGCAGAGAGATAGAGAGGTAGACGCGGCGCATTTATTCGCAGGCAGGGGAGCTTTGCCGGCGCGATTACGAGCGGGGGAGCGAGCAGGGAATTTATACATTCGCACACGCGTTGCGAGGATATAACTTAGTGTTTGCAGCACTTCATGAGACTTAATGGGGGTGTGCGGTCGCGTAATTTCCACAACGAGAGAGAGAGAGAGCCAGTGTCTAGTGGTGCCTAGTTCGAGGGGGATCGGCAACGCACAGGGGGTCGTTTTTTGCTCAAAATTTGAGTCGGAATTAAAACGAGAAGCTTAACACTACTTAATGAGCAACCCCCGCTATATATTTAGCCTTAATGAGGCAAGTTAGCCCAGTGAAGGAGGCTAATTTTAATGATGAGCAGATTATGCTTATGAAACATTAAATATACTGTTTAGGACATTAATTACTTTTATTTTTAAATTTTGAAAACTCAGTTAACGAAACCAAAGAATTGAAGTAGCAAATTTATAGAAAATGGAGCCGATTATTATATTTAATATGTATAATAATAGACTATGTCATACAAAATTGACATTTTTTTTTTATTGATAATTCAAGCGAGCAGTTTCAATTTGTAATAATGCTAAAAGTGCTGCTCTCACCGATTTCATTATTAAAATTAGGTATTGACATAAATTAGATTTTAAATAGTAATTTTAAGAAATAATAAAACAAAAATCAATTTTTTAATTATAAATAAATAGGATGTTTTGATTAGTAGATGAAATTACAGGATTTTTTTTTCAATTTTAAAATAAAATAAATGGTCCCTCATTTTGATCTTGAAAGTTAAAGAAAAATTTTTGCTACTTGTGCCATTTTTTCAGGGTTATTTGAGAAATTTAATGTTTAAAGCAATAAAATTAAGTCTAAATTGATGGAAATGCTTTAAAGTTTTATATAGTAAAGTGAATTGCTTTTACAGGAATTTCATATATAGCTTTTTAGACACCAGTCATTGCATTAATTACCTTCATGATTATGATAATAAATAATTAATTACATATTTGCTATTGATCCATCCATATTATTTGTGGTTAAAAATGGGAGCTCGTGTTTTTTTTTTACTCTTTCAGATAATAAAATTCTAACAAAGCAAATACAAAAATGATGCAAATCGACTTTTGCCCTCTTCACTCGTCAGCGATGCAAAAAACCCAATTTCCTTTCCGTTCAACACCATTAGCCGCCGCCGCTGCTGCGCGATAACAGGCTCTGCAGTTAATTTGAATGAGTGTCGATATGTGCATGCAGCACTTTTTCCATTTCTCAACTCCAATGGTCTGTCTACGACTGCTGTGTGCATACATAAAGGGGCGGCTTTTGCGAAAATCGATCGGCGGTGGCGAGAGCGCGCGCGGTGCGCTCGGCAGCACATAAAATAATTTCCATAAAGCGCGTGAGACAAATCCGTGCGCTCAAAGCATCTCTCGGCGGTTCAATTTCATTCGCTTTCATTACATATATTTTTCCACCACGAAAATTCATTATTTATCCGCAAATACGCCACTCAGGTTTTTATGTATAAATAAAAAGTCCAACCGCAGCGGTGGAAATCTCATTTCGTGCTGTTATTATTAGACTGGCGGCTCGAGTGCTTGAGAAGAAGAAGAAGCTTCTCTTCTTGACTTGAGTACACGCCGAGAATTCCGGCTGCTTTAATTAAATTGCCGGGGAAACGATGGAAATAATAACAAAGTGCTGAGGGAGATGATGGAAAGAATGAAAGGGACGCTCTTGACGAAACCTTATTGCGCGCGCTCGGCATTAATTAGGGTGCTTCAGTTTGCGCCGAGAGAGCCACAAACGACCAGCGATGAGATATAAATGACCAGCACTAATGCCGTATAAGAGAAAAGAGATGATTTTTTTTCCGAAAATAATACGATCAGTGCGAATCGAAGCACGCTCCTCTTTATCCAGAGTTTGTTTGATCATGTGGTTTACGAAAGACGCAGAAAAAGCAGAGGGCGGTGCGTGGGAGGCCCAAAATAAAGGGGATAGACTCGAGTTTTGCAGGCGCCGTGAAAAACGTGCAGTGTAACATTGTGTTTAATGACATAAAGTCCACAGTTTAAATTATCAGTCTATACAGTGTAATTTTAAATTAAGCTCAATATATAAAAAAAACCTTGCTTGTTATGAAAACATTTCACTGTCACCAAGTGCAGAGAAAAATTAATAATATAAAAATATGCAATAACAGGAAATTTAGATATCCATGACGCAGAATGAAATAATATTACAAATTATTTTTTTACGTATTTTCATGGGAAAAGTAGAAGGAAAAACGATGGATTTTTACGTAATGGAAACTGAATGCATCAGCGGAAGCTGCAGCACGATTGGAAAGTTCATCGCTTCCCCAGCGCTGAATGATGTTCTGTGTGTGTCGCAAGAGCTTGGAAACTGCGCAGGCAGAACGAAAGGACGTCGCGACACGTCTGCCTCGCTCATGAAATTCAATTCTCATCGCACCCACAATTGGCCTAGTTTCGAGTCTTTTTTTGCCGCTTATTGACTTAAACATGTCTCGCTAAAAGCACATTTTTTATATATAAAGAGAGCAGATTCACGACCGAGCGCCATAACGTGTATTGAAAAAAAAAGAAACACGTTAATATAAAAGTGCTTCGTGTTCTCGTGCTGGGAGGAGGAAAATTCCCGGCGTGAAAGAAGAAAAGATAACAACACAGCATCCCTCTCTGACGAGTCATGCATGCATGGCACGTCGAGGGTTATCCTTTCAGACTGGTGCGCCGCGAGTGTAATTTTGGTTGATTGCGTACCTGCCAAGTCATTATTCGAATCGCCAGCACGAATGGTGTATCCTCTCTGATTATTATTCGATTTCAGCTGTTGCGGTTGAGGAGGCTGTTGTTGCTGCTGAGATTGCCTATTCTCCTGCGCCGCCGCTGCCGCCGTCGTGGCTGAAACAAAAAACGCGTGGATTATTTTATTGTGTTATTATATAGCAGACGCGGTGGTGTATCATCATCCGAGCTGGCGCGAGGTTGTCACGCACACAATAAAGAGCGGTGGAAACTTTTATATATTATTCCGGCATGTAAAATTTCAGGCAATTACGTCCGCTTTTGAGAGATTCGGCGCGGAAAAAATTCTAATCAAAAAAATTCCGAAATCATTCGCTCGTCCGAATTCATTAAAAGCGGGCCTCCCTAATGTGCGCCTTCAAAAGGCTTCGTCAGTGCGCTGATGAGAGTGAACGGCGTCAATTAAATGGCGTTGCAACGAGAAACCCTAGCTGTCTGCCCGCTTCAATCATAAAAAGCCTTTGTATTGTTATGATGCTGCCAACAGGCACTCGTGTTGTTTTAGGTTTTCCTCGCAGGCATCACGAGATAAAGGGGTTCCTCGTCTATTTGGGCCAACCCTAAAATAATAAATTTTTACAGCGCACAACTTTGTGTGAGCCGCCGTGTTAAAAGCAGGGTGAATTCGCCCACGCCCTGCTCCGAGAGCAAAACTAACTAAATTAAGAAGCGGCAAGTCGAAAAAATCTTTCCGGCTCATCGCCAGGCGAAAAATTTCTGCTCTTCCTTCATTAGCCATTAGGGAAGCTGCGAGATGATCTGCCGAGCTCATTAGTTTTGGCGAGGCAGCGCACGGTCATTAACACGACTGCGATCATTTTTCCAATCCATCACGCTGACAGGGCCCTAGTGACCCCCAACCGAGGCCTCTTTCTTTCTTTCTCTCTTTTCCCTCTGAATGCAGCCCCCGGAGGCGCGGAGAAAAATATGTACATAATTCCAAGGCTTTCCGTCTCCCTTTTAAAGGATTGAGGCTCTCAGCTTGCGAAACCAAATATTAGATTTCCCGGCCGCCGGCGCAGGGACATTGTATCTGCAGAAGGTATCGGGTTCGTGCTGCTTGCAGGGGGTCAAACGTACGTACGAGGGTGCGCTTTGTGTACCTGGATGCTGCAGCGCATGTTGCCAGCCGGGACGTCGTAAAGACTAAAGACGGCGTTGCATGAGACCACTTTATGGTCGTTTATTATGCTGACCAGGCACGATGCATGGTTTAGATGGACGCACGGATCAGGTCCACGGATCGTAAAACAAGGCAACTCGACACCGAGCACGCAAGCAACGCTCCATCTTCTGCCGGCAGGACCGACAGCAATTTGGAATTCGAGTTTTAATCGCGATTAGACGGAGCAAAAAAAGCTACCGCGAGCTTCATTAGAGAGAAAGAGAAACGCAATTTCCGCTTTTATGGCGTGGAAAATGATTTAAGGAGAATTGTTAATTGTTCCACGGAGAGATAAAATTGAAGGGGCTCGCTGCCATAAAAGATATAAATTTATTTAAATATTTTATTTCCTTATTTAAATAAAAATGTTAAAGAGATCAAAATTTTCTACTTTGATTTCTATCGTTTGCTTTGATTTTGAATTTTTGTTTGTAAATGATAAAAAAATTAAACGAATGTTAAAGTTCATTAGCAATGAAACATGGTTAGAAATTTTTAATTTTTTTTAGTAATTGCTTTTGTTAGGCTTGGATATTGGTTTTTTTTATCTGATTGGAAATTTTGTGCGTTTCATTTTTACCAATGCAAAAAATTAATTTCCTAAATTAATAGAAAACAACTTTGGAAATTTTGATGCCTAATATTTTTAGTTACCAGTTCAATTAAAATTTATTAAAAATTGTGATCAATGCCAAGCCCGAACTCAAAATTTTCCACGTGTTGGAACAAGTCATGTCACGTGGTACATGAAACAATTCTCCGTACACCAAGGAAAATAAAATTTTACGAAAAGAACGCCCTTCTGTGTAGCGCTTGGGTGGAAAATTCTCTACGCTCTTGGCACACATGTGTGATTTTCTGAAGCCGTGCGAGAGAAAAAAAGCAAAGGCCACTTTGTGTAAGGCCAGGCCCGTCGTGTAAATAGGCGCGTTTTAAAAGCATTCCCGAAAATTTCTTCTTTCGAGGCCGAGCATGTGTGCACAGAGCAGACGTCTGTCTTGCTCGCTCGTCCCGTTGGCGGCCCCTCGCCGCGCCGCGAGAGTTTATTGCAGCGCAGGCCATGCTCTGCTTGCTTTATGATTGTGCACAGGCAGGTTTCAATAAAGAGCAGGTATTGTCAACAAGAAATATTACTCGCCGTGAATGGCAAGAGCTGAAAAAGGATACAAAACAAAATACCTTTTCTTGGAAACAACAATTCAAGCTGCTGCGCTCGCTGCTGCTGCTGCGTGCACGACCAGAGCAGAGAGAAAAGAATATAAAAAAAAGAACCGTGCGCGAGGAGCCTCCTGAGAGCGGACGACGACGGCTCAATGAGAATTCACGAAAAGCAGCAGCAGCAGCTTAACATTTGAAGCAGGAAAGAAGGAATTCTGCCAAATGAAAGATTGCGGTGCACCTCAGTGAGTCTCCGCGCGCTGCCTCGCCAAGTGAAAGAAAGAAAGGACGAAATCCTCTGAAGCAACTTGCTCTCTGCAAAAAGGTCCCGCTTTTTGTTATTTTTATTTTCCTCTCGGTCAAAATGAAATATTTATATGCACGCAGCTGCGCCGCTTGGTGGAAATGTACCGAGGTGGTGTGCGGAACGGCAATTTCACGGCGCAGCCCTTGTCGGCGCGCATTGTTCCCGACTCCGTCCGACTCCGTGTGCGCCTTTGTTTTCATTGTTTGTCAAAAAAATGAGCCAACTCGATGTGTAAAAAAAAGCTCAAAACGGCAGTGCTCGGGCAAAGAGGCGTTTTTATCCCTCGAATGAGAAGCAGAAAGTAAAATTTCCCACACAAAAAAAAACTTTCATCTGGAGCAATAAAAGTGACAAGGTCGTACTGTCTTCCTGGAACACCCTAAACAAGAAAAGAAGCAATTTACAACTTTTAAGAATACTTTCCCACTTTTCAGAATCAATGTGTTTATTTAAAATTTTCTCGTCTGTCAATCTTTTTACAAATGGTTTTCACAATTGTTTGAATGGGATGACACTTTGGAGGAAAACGGCACTCCTGCGTTGAAAATTTATCCCAACGCCGGCCATGTGCGCCACGTGAACAAATATAACCAGCGCAGACCTCCCATGCAGCTCTCGACACCGCTCATTATGCAACCAGAGAGGTTGACACGTTCGCTAGCTCAGGGAGTAAAAAAATTTCCGATCTGCCAGATCGCTGATCGCAAGCTGCTGCTGACGAGGGAGAGAAATTTGAAGCATTTCAGAGGCTTTTTGTCGCCGCGGCAAGAATGTGGCCCCTACAGCCGCTTTTATTGTCCTTTGTCTTGTTTAATTTTCGACATCAATAAGAGGCGGGCATGTGCCAAGCAATTTAAAAAGAGACTCGCTGCTTCCATTGTGTGCAGCTTTTAGCGAGAATCTTTTCTTCCCGGCGTGTAAAATGTGCGCGGATTGACGACGAATGAGAAAACACAAAGCGGAATTAATTAATAGAGGGAAAAGACATTGTTTTATGCTCGGCGACAAGAAACATATCTTTAAATGGCCACCCGCAACTTTCAATAAGGCATTAATTTGAAATTTTGTACGTAGGCTTGTTTTATACGGGCGAGTCATGCATGATTAATTGTTTTATTTGTGCCCGACACACACACACACTCGCGCATGCACGAGAGAGGAATTAAACTTTCTTGATATACGCGCCGTGTTGTTGTTAAGTCGCCGTAAATATCGCAGGCGCACATCAAGCATGAAAGATAAAACTTTGTGTTCGTAGAGAGAGAGAGACGACGGAGCATAATATCAAGTGCCGCGGCCGTAATTCTTAATATAAAACGCGAGGCGCGCGCGAGGAATTTCAAAACGCGCGGATGATGAATTAGTAATGCTGCTGCTCGGGGAAATTATCTCGGCGCCTTTCGAGCAACTTTTTATCTTTCTTCGGAGAGACGCGGACGACTTTTGTTTCGAGTCAGGGAATACGACGAGAAATTAAAACGCTGCTCAAGAAAGAGTCGCTCTTCCATGCCGATTGTTACTGCGCCAGCAGTTGTTGAGAAAGAAAGAAAATCATTGTAACTCTCGTTTATTGCCACCAATTTATAGGCCGATTATAATTATTTCCCGCCAATTCATATAAAAGTCATTTCCCGGCGAGATTGATGGCCGATATCCGGTGGTCAGCGTTTGCCATTTTTTTGTAAAGGTTTATAATTGCCAGTGAGTGATGCGAATCGATTTATCACCGACTGAGATCATTTTCAATTAGGTCTGCTTTTGACTCAAGGCTATCCAGGGATTGGAAATTGTCGAATTTTTTACGCTAGAATAAGCGTGCAGACGAGAAAGAGACATTTGGACACATTCATTCAGCAGTTATTTTGGTTTCGACCACTTTTCCATTCTCCCGCCAGTTCAATTGAAATCGGAGACGAGACCCTTTTCCCCAAGAAACTACCCCCCTCGGACTTGTCAGCGCGCAGAGGAATTTTCTTTTTCCGCTTGATTAGTTCGGCAGGCTGGTCGTTTGGGAGGAAATTGCTTTCTGCTCCTCCCAGCAGCTCGAGTGGCAATTAAATTCTTATATTTCCATTCCTTCTTTTTCATAATTCGCCGAACGACCCTGCTGGTGCATGAATAAGCAAAGACTTGCCAGGCCGGTGCCGCATGACTGCTTCGATTGGCTATATTTGTACCAGGGCAGGTGCACTCCGGTGTCTTTTTTTATTCCTTTCTCTCCTTCTTTGCTAGTCAAGTTTTCATGAATTCGAGCCGGCATCGATCGTCGCCGCGATGCGTCACCCTCAAAATAATCGCCGACGCAAACAACAACTTTATTTATTTACCACGAAGCGCAAGGTGCTCTGGCGCTGATAATGCGCCGGGTCTTTCAAGGAGAAAATGAGAAAATTGCGCTCTTGCAAGTTTTATTGCAAAGTTTTGAAACGTGACGAATTCCAACAGCTGCACGTGCTTCTAAAAATA